GAAACTGAAAACTGGCAGTACAGGTCCGCTCCCGTCAATCAAGCTGACGCGAGCACGTGCTGAAGATCATGCCATTTTTAAGTTAGTCATGCACTGATCAAGTGCTGTTGCATTCGGCGCGCGGGCAACAACTGTGCAATTGTATCCCGATCGGGATACATTTGAACCTGATCAGGGGCACGTGACCAAGAATCAACAAATCACAGTGCTCGTTTTGTTGAGTGAAAGCCTGGGTATATAACAATACCCAATACTGACCTAACGCAGGCTAAATATTTATTACAGTACTCTTTTAAGATTCTGCTTCGTAACATTTTGGAAAGGCAATTTGCCGAACCTCAGAAAATCAATCAGAATTCGCCCTTTCATGGTGGACCAAATTGCCATGTAATAATAATAATCAAAAAATATGTGTTAATCCAACCTGGATGCAGAAATATTTCTGTGGTTAATTGCGCAAAGCCAAGTCTGTTTGTAGCCCGACAAATGTACTTTCCCGTGTCTTCGTCTTTAACGTTCTTCATTGTAAGGCATCCGTTTTGGTACAAAGTCGCATCAATAGATCGTTGACCACGTGACCACTCTACAGTTGGTGGCGAGGACCCAGTAGCTGCACAACATAATTCCAAGTCTGATCCCGGGCTGACAGAAACTTGTGAAGGAGCCTTCCTGGTAAAAACTGGTAGTTCTAGAAAGATAGGAAAAAAAGCTTTGTGAACTGCGCATTTGCAAGATATATTTTTCTCTTTACACATAACTTTTTGAGGCCTTTAAGAGGGAGGTGAAAGAAGATTCCTCAATATTCTAGTCATGCCATCCTCCAAACGCACTAGACATGGAAAATGCATATAATAGCTAACTGTAAGATATTTTTTCTCTCCAGAAAATAAAATCACGGTTGTGGTAATGGTAGCAAGTCAGTTTCTAGATAATAGCAGAGGTAGCGAATGGTACCTAAAAACTCGTTGATCTCGGGAGCTTTTGATCCGATCTCGAAATCTCATAATCCTTGGTGATGAATAAGAAGTCTCGATTTTCCGTGTGTCATTCCTCTCTCAAAGTAAAATTTTCTCAGTCTCAATCGCAGATTTCAATTGCATGAGATTCTCGGTCTCTCGGTGAGTCTTGTATGTCTGTATCATTTGTCACCATAGATCTCCGCTATCGCTCTGACAAATTGTCAGCTATTGCCTTTTAAAAGCCCACCTAGACCTTTTGTTGCAACTACAGTGTTATTTGTTGCCCTCCTGCAATCAAAACTAATTTTAGGTGTGGAATTCAAACAGGAATATTACCTTTCACTCCCAGAGTGCCGATGGCTCTTAGAGTTCCATAGCCTGTGATAATTATGCACAAGTAGGATCCAGCATGAGACTTTTGTACACTGCTGATATATAAAACGCCACCCTTGACAGAAGTATCGCGAGCCAAGACACCTCCAAGCTTACTCCACGTTATCTGTTTCGATGTCTGACCGTCAACCCAGCAGTAAAATATTGCCGGTGTGTTGATAAAGAGTTCCTGGGACACTGGATATATACTGGTCTTTGGATCAACAATGCATTCTCCTTTTGGTCCCTGAAGGCCCGTATAGCCCCTGGTCCCCTTGTTCCCTTTAAAGCCAATCAAGCCCTTTTCTCCTGGACGGCCTATTGGTCCAACATCTCCTTTTACCCCACGGGTTCCAACAGGTCCCTGCTTGCCCATGTCGCCCTTAATTCCCTGAGGTCCCTGAAGCCCTTGACTTCCACGTGTGCCCGGTGCTCCCGTAGGACCTAAAGGTCCTTGGGGTCCGGATATCCCAAGAGCTCCTTTTTCACCCTTATATCCGGGATACCCGTGGGGACCGGGATCCCCTTTTGGTCCCGGGGGTCCTTCTTGGCAAACCTTGCCTTTGCTGGTGCACGCTTGGCTTAACTGTTCCTTTATTTCCTGGCGCACTTGCTGTAAGGAGACTGTTGGAGTAGGTTGCGTCTGGGGAACATTTCTTTTGTTTCTTTGAAAATGTGCTGAAAGTGAATGACATTGCACGTTATTCCGAGCATCTACAGTGACGGACAGGCAGTGACAAAATTAATTGGACTCTAGATCAAGTGGTCTATTTTAGACCTCTAGACTGGGTTATTGCGTTCGATAGGCATGTTTTGACATATTACATACATCCTGACTTTGACATATTACATAGATCCTAACTTGAAATAGATAACATTGGTATATGTTCAGAAAGCACCGCATTAAATAACGAAGACAGAAGGGGAAGACCGTCGTCTATTTTCGACTAATCAGCGATACAGAATGTTGGTTTCAGTATCACCCGATCAGTTAGGTTATAAACACGCTTCCTGTAACTCGATCAGTCACGTATAACTTAAACTACTTCTTTCATTGCTGAAAAGAAACGTTTCACTGCATGGCAACAACGGGCTTAGCTTTAATTTTTACGCAAAAATTCGCCGACTTTAGCAATTAACTAAACTTCAGTACAGCCTGAAAATAATGAACGCGCATGAAGTGGCGAGGGAAATTCTTCCGCCTCAAGAACAAGCAAGCGAATGCAAAAAATGAAACTGTGGTGTTTTGCGGTTTTCCCGAAAGAACTTTTGGAAACGCATGAAGTTGCACATCTAAGCGCAAGAAGCCGCAAGAAGTTACCAGTCTAATTAATCACAAGCTGCAAGAAACCCAAAAAGTTGTCGAGTCCAGACACTATATCTGATCTCTCATTGCAATGACTGCGGTATTGTAAATAAATGCCGCGATGATTTAACGTTTCGTTTTTATCAAAACTCTTCCATAGTTATTAACGCATGGGCCTACAGTTGGTGTTTGCAGCCAGGAGTCATGGCTACGCTCTTTTTTTTTTTTTTTTTTTTTTTTTTTNGGAGCTGAGGCTGAACGTTCTTATATGACTTACATTTTTTTGCGATTTGAGACTGAAAATGTTCTTAAGATGTTGATATAGAAAAAAAGAGTGTACCTTTGAAAACGTCAGCTTGGGCAACTGGTGTCACCGGCTTTTTCCCTGAAAAAACCTAGCAGTACCGGCTGTAAAATGAACATGCATGTGTGTAGTTATTAAATACTTTCCTATTAGAATGTTGTAGTATAGAGAGTGTTCACGTGACGTCATCAAATTTTCAAATCCAAAACTAAAGAGCCACTTAAGGTTATATCCTCATCAGGCATAAGAGGTACTGAATTTATATCTGTTTATAACTTTCCACCTCAATAGCGTCCTTCTTTTGGGAACCAGCACATTATATGAATTTCGGAGTTATGGAGGTGCGTGACATGAAGCTAAGATCGCGTTTGTCGAAAAATATACACTTATCTCGTGATTTTTAGCCAATTTAGGAGTTAAAGTATTAGGAAAAGTTCTTTTGTAAATGTTTTTTTGGTTCGGTTCAGATAATCAGTCGTCTAGATAACCAACGTAAGTTCCAAATGTTTACACTATTTTCCGGCCGCCATATTGGAGGACTAAGGAGGTCCTCCAACACGGCGGCTCTATACTAGGCTCTCTAATTTTGCGCGGAACATTTCGACGAATATCTCAACTTTGGGACAACGCACACACCTTAAACTTAGAGAACTGTCTTCTTTATATATCGTCTATAATATCACGATTTCTTGACTTTATTGCGTGACAATGCACACACTCTACAGCGATGGAAAAGTGTCCTCTTGTACATACTCTCTGGTGTTTCCATTTGGTTTTTGTGGTCTGTTGTCTGCAGTGATCCGATCTCGACGCGGCTATTCTCTTTCAAAATTCGCAGTTCGTTCAGCTCTGTTTACCTGTTTATCGATTCCATTCTCAAAAACGACCAAAAACAGCGCAACGATCAACAACAACGAAATAAAGGACGGAAACGAAGAACCTTTGTGGAGTTCGTCGCCACATTTGGAGGAATTTTTCTTGTTTGGTTCCATGATCGGTTCTAATTGACAAACAGTTGTCTGAACAAGCTCTACTGTCGTGTAAACTGAACGTTTGATTTACTTTTAGCAGCCGTTTCGTGTTCCTGTATACGGCATATGCTAAGACGGAACTGTAAAGCGAAACCGTTATCAATTGATCTGTCATCGTTTGGAAGAAACTTTAACCTTTCTCCGAGTGGCAAGAATATCTCCCGGCATGAATGCAACACTATTAAATTCGATGACCATAGCGCGAGGGGCAGCATTCTGAAATCTTGTAAGAATCATTCTTAAAAAAAAAAAAAATACTGAGACTTCTTCGTTTACTACATTGCTGTAGACCCCTAGTGGGGGTTGACTCAAGGCATAGGTGGGTGGAGAGCTCCCTCCCCCCCCCCTCCCCCCACTCCCATCCCCTTTCCCACTTTTCTTCTGTTAATCTAACTGCAAGCTGTAAATTATAAGGGAATCCAATGCAATACCACGAGTCAACTTGTTAATCGCTTATTATATTCCGGCGCCATCGCGCGAAATCAACAACGAACAAGAATCAAACGTAAAGAAGAGGAAAGCTAACCTATAATTCACGGATTTAATTCATGTATTATTAACAAACAGTTGTCTCAACAAGCTCGACTGTCGTCTAAACTGAACGTTTAATTTCCTTTTAGCAGTAGTTTTGTGTTCCTGTATAAGGGACATGCCAAGACATAACGTTGAAGCGAAACCGTTATCAATTGATCTGTCATCGTTCGGAAAAATCTTCTATCTTTCAAAGCCATGAATGAAACTGTACCCGCAGTGTTTCTACTGTCATTATTATCATTATAAATTTTTATTTCCCCAAGTATTTTATGCACGCTTTGTTAATTACAAAAAAATGGAAAAATCCAAGTTTCTTAATAGATTGCTGAAGAACTCTCTGTGTCAACTCAAAGCTATAACTTTCTGTTACTTTAGACAGGACATATCCATTTCCAGACGGGAGTTAAATTTTTAGTAAATAACTTGGCATGAAGGCTAAAAATAAATGAGTCGTGATAACAAACAAGAGACCTTGTCTCTTGTAACAGACTGGGCGACTATATACCTGTCACAATTTTAGATGGAGAGAACCTCTCTTTCTTCCTTCACCAACCTCCAGAACAGAAATATGGTTGAGAACACTACAAGTATATTCTATAGTCTCTTGGAGCTAGAATTGGTCATTATGTAGGTCAAGTCTTCTAATTTAATGGCTAGGGAATCTATATGTTCCTTTGTGTGAAAAGAAAGCGGAGAGAGGCCTATTTGGAAGTTTTGTCATCACGGATTGTATACTTTGGGTGATGTGTTTGGAAAGTTTCTAGAATAACCAGCCTCGTTATTTTGTTGGGGGATTTAGTCTTCAACGTCGATAGACACTTGAGTTATACTCCGTTAGTTAAGTCGTGATATTTTCCTTTCAGAGCAATTTCGAAAAAATACAAAAAAAAAAAANCCATTTGAGCCGTGTCGACTCCTGCCATCTCTCATAAACAAGATTGCATATCAACAAACCTACAAGTCTAGTTAGGGACAATCCCATTGCCCTGATCTTAAAATGCATTTCTTCTACCAAAACAGAAATGGATGTTTTGACATGCTACATACATCCTTACTTGAAATAAATAACATCGGTATTTGTCAGGAAAGCGCCGCATCAAATAACCAAGACAGAAGTGAGAAACCGTCGTCTATTTTCGATTAATCAGTGATACAGAATGTTTGGTTTCAATTTCACCCGATCAGTTAGGTTATAAACACGCTTCTTGTAACTCATGTTCAGTCATGTATATCTTACGTTTCTCTACATGGTAACAACATCCAGGCTTAGCTTCTACACAAATAAAATTCACTGACTTAAGCAGTTAACTAAACTACAGTACAACCGGAAAATAATGCACGCGCAAGAAATGCACAAGAAGTTCTTACGCCACAAGAACACGCAAACGAGCGCAAGAAATGAAAGTGCGGTGTTTTGCGATTTGCCTGCAAGAAAGTTTGGAAACAAGAAGTTGAATATCTAAGCGCAAGAATGCGCGAGAAATTACGAGTCTTACTGCAAGCCGCAAGAAATTCAAAATGTCAGTCGATTCCAGACCCATAAAGTTTTCTCTATCTCTGTGAGTGTAGTTACGGCGGTACTGTAAATAAATGTCGCGATGATTTTAACGTTTCGTTTTCATCAAAACTCTTCCATAAACATTCGCCTACACTTAGTGTTTGCAGCTTTCAACCATGGCTATATATGAAATCGTCAACATGGGTAGCTAGTGTCGCCAGCTTTTTCGCTGACAAAATGTAGCAGCACCGTCTGTGAAATGCACAGCATGCATGCAGTTACTTAACTTCATGCCAGTCCCTGTTAGAATCTTGTGTTATATAGCGATCAAAAAGTGTCAGCTTGCACTTACTTTCTGGTGTTTCCATTTCGTCGTTTTTATGGTCTGTTGACTGCAGTGATCCGATCTTGATGGCGCTTTCCACTTTAGAAATTCGTAGTTCGCTCCCCTCTGTTTTCCTGTTTATCGATTCCATTCTCAAAAAAAGAGCAACGATCAACAACAACGAAATAAAGGACAGAAACGAAGAACCTTTGAGGAGAACGTCGCCACATTTGAGGGAAGTTTTCTTGTTTGGTTCCATGATCGGTTCTAATTAACAAACAGTTGTCTGAACAAGCTCGACTGTCGTGTAAACTGAAAGTTTGATTTCCTTTTAGCAGCAGTTTCGTTTTCCTGTATACGGGATATGCCAAGACATAACTGTAAAGCGAAACCGTTATCAATTGATCTGTCATCGTTTGGAAGAAACTTTAACCTTACAAAGCCAAGAATGACCAATACCCGCAGTGTTTCTTTTGTCATGGATATCAGATTATTAACTTTTGCTCCCAGTATCGTGAGAACCTTTTAGGGGTCTTTTAAAAAACCCGACGGACTGAGACTTTATAATACTGTTGAGTAACTATAGTGACAAGACTCCTCGTGTGAGGAAGGTGCGGAGCTTCTTTTTGTCTGTTAATTCTATGAGATGGCCAACTTTTTTTTTTCCTTCTTATTATTTATTTATTAAAAACACTGCTGAAACTACTTACAATGCAGACAGTAAACAATAGAAAGGTATACAAAGCTATAAAACGTACAAGCTTGCTACGCGCTTAATATATTATCGTATGAGACAAAGGAACACGTTAACGAGGAGGAACTTATCAAGAGGGCGGATCCTATCTTAAATTTAACACTCGCAAACGTAGGAAATCAACAGCAAACACAAAATTAATTAGAGGGTCTCAATAGAGAGGGGAATTACTTCACCTTTATTACTGATAGAGATAATAATCGCTTGATTTTTTCGAGACTAGAGGTTGAAAGACTTGCACATAATCGTATTTTTTGTTGTATATTAAAACGATCGTTTATAAACAACATAACTTGACCCCATTTTAGTCAATCGTTTAGTTCTTAATTAAGGATATCAAAGACATTTGACGGCTAATATTGGCTTGCTCATTTTACGGTTGACAGTAAAAACATTGCGTTTTTGACGGTTGACGGTTATTTTTTTAGCCAACTGACGGTTGACGTTGGTGGTTAAACCCACACTGAGTTCCTCGAATTAGTTCAACCAAGAAAAGAAAACTGGAAAAAGTCAATTCGTATTCATTGGTCCCTAAAGCTAGCTTAAACACCTTAGAAATAAACAAAATAAAAAAATAATAATAATAAAACTTTTTTTTTTTCATAATTATACATTAACCGGTTAGCAATAATCATTAACAACTGTATACTCTGCTCAATTACAAGCCTTTTTATGGCGGGGAAAATTACCTGATGGTGGTTGGCCGAGTTTTTAATCTGCGCCCAACGCAAATTAATGCGCGTGTGTTCGTAATTGTCTCTGTCATATCATAAATGACGGATCTTATGAAAACTCGATCAATAAATCAAAATAAAGGATTTGCAATAATCGTGATGTTTAAACATTCTTTTAAATTGTACTCGCCTTTAGGCTAATGCAATGTTGAGAAAATTTTCAAATGTAGTTACTCAAAGCGTAAATTCATTATTACAATTGCATTCATTCTGTTACCTATACTAAAACTAACCTGACTTACATTTTAGCATATTTGAAAGGCTTTGCGTCAGAGAGATAAAATTTAGTTACATTTTCAGGCTCGAATCTTCGAAACACTATCACAGAACTCTCCGCCCTTTCCTCAAAGAAAGATGTGCTTATGGAAAAGAAGTTTCAACCAAATGAATTAAACTGAATTAATTTTGTCAAATCCTTTGCAATGATGTTGATTAGCACTAGTATGAAAATTTACCTTATAAGAACAAATTCAGAGCTCAACAGTAATCTGTAACGTAACTGTTTTGAAGATGTAGCTTGTGATTAGTCCCACTTAACGGATCCACAGATTTAACGAGTAGGACTGGGATGGAGCATTTTTTAGATTACCGTCATAACCAAAGTCATATTCAGTTGTGTCATCAAGAACAAATGAACCAGCATTACTTTCT